CTATTTGGTGAGAGAGAAATAATTTAAAATGTAGTAGTGAGGACCAAATTAAAGGAGAGAGTGAGATATAAATATATAATTAATGATTATTGTAAAATATTTCTAGGAGAAATAAATGTGTCAATATAAAAAGGCAAAAGCTAAGGAACGGTCAAATGTGTTGGATAAGATAACTAAAAGTAGTAGAAATATTAAATTGAAATAAGTTTTAATTACACCAATCGACGGGTGATTTTAACATGCATTCTCATATCGATCAAATTAATTAACAGTATTTTAGGAAATATTTTAAATTGTTATGTAATGCTCGGAGACGATTGTCTACAAGATCCATTAAAAAAAGGAAGTTTAAGAAAATTGTGTCATTTTAAAACATGATGGGAGTATTATTATACTAGTAGAAAGAATAGTTAAAGGGAAGTGTGAATGCAAAAACTCAAAGTGCTATAAGCCTATAAGTAATTGGAACAAAGAAAGTAATACAGTAATTGTTATTCCTTAATAAATTTTTTATAATATCATTATGCATGCTTCATTACTATTATCCATGTATTATATGTACTAAATTTATCTCAACATATGTATATTGCTAGCTTAGTTGATTAAATTCTTACATTATTAGTAATTTATTTATTTATTTATTTTTTTTTTTCGTGCACATATATAACTTTTATGTATATATATACATATTGTAATCCACAATGTACGTAGCTCAAAGTTGCTTAATTTTTTTTTTTTTGTTTTCATCCAATTTTATTTGTTGGTCATACGCATTGTACTTTTAGATTTTATCCTTTTTAAAATAGCTATACTTAATTCACATTATTTCAAGATCTTATTACTTATACACAGTATATTATTACAGATTAAATCAAAAAATTTAGGGAAATTCTACATAGTAACCTCGTTTTTTTCACTTTTCTACGCTGTGACCTAACATATATGACTTTCTACGTTGTAACCCTAAAGTACGAAAAGTCACTATATTGTGACCTTGCCGTTAAACTGCCGTTAGTTGCTTCCGTTAAAACTCAAAAATTAAACTTTTTTTTTTCAATTCCCCTTCCCCTTTCCCTTCTTCCCTCCATAACCACCAAACAATCGCGACCACCAACAACATGACCCCGACCTCCAAGAATCCGGCCGCCAAACTCCATTGTCCCAGGAATCCGCCGGCCGCCGCCCAGACCCCCTTCCTCTTCCCATCCCCGGTGCCGGCGCTGCAGCTAAACCCAGACCCCAGAACCACCATTGCCACCAAACTAGACCCCAGCCAACCCAGGAACCACCGCCACCAAATCAGACCTTGGAACCACCGCCACCAAACCAGACAGCCAACCCCAAAACCCCCTTCGAAAAATCAAAAGCCCACCGAACCAGACCCCATGAAACTGGTTGGGGAGGCCGGCACAACCAGAATCGACGTCGGGAGAGATTTGGTGGCCTGTTAAGGGACAGGAGACGGGGAGGGAACTAATGGGATCAGGACGGGAAAGGGTTCTCAAGGGAAGGGGGATGCCGCGTGAGGGAGGGAGGGGTTGGCTGGGTTTTCCGGGGAGGGTCTGGGGTGTTGGTGGTTTAGAGGAGGGGGTTAAGCGGCGCCGGCGTTGGTTGGTCGAAATCGGGGCGGGGGAAGGGGGGAGGCTGGTGGGGTGGTTTGGGGTTCGAGTCTGGTGGTTCTAGGGTTTGGGTTTGGGTGGTAGTGGGGAGGGGGAGGGGTGGCTGACGGAGGGGGTGGCAGTGGGGTGGATGGAAGGTGGCTGGACGGTGATTGGGCCCCACTAACGGAAATAGTAACAGTTAACGAAAGCAACTAACGGCAGTTTAACGGCGAGGTCACAATGTAGTGACTTTTCGTACTTTAGGGTTACAGCGTAGAAAGTCATATATGTTAGGTCACAGCGTTGAAAAGTGAAAAAAACGAGGTTACTATGTAGAATTTCCCAAAAAACGAGGTTTTATGTGCAATTTTTTATAGTTAAAAATATATAATTCAATTAAAAAAAATTTAAAAGCTAAATGTTTAGAAAACAAATATAAATACAAATCTTATAAGACAAATAAGGTAATGAGATCATAAAAATCTGGATTGATCCATGCACGTGTTTGATAAAATTATTTGGTGATTAATAGAGGCAAAAATCTGCCAAAAGGACAGCAGTAAACTGACCGGCGATTGCAAAAGCAAAGCAGAATGTAAGGCGGCCTGCTTGGAAGAGAAAGACATTGATGCGCTCACTGGAACTTGTGTACAAAATTTCAAGACCGTGACAGTTAAGGGTGATTGCCATACTGAAATCATTATTGATGATTCGAAAACACAAAAATCTGTAACGCAAGAGGTTTGTGATCCAGATACAACCACAAAGCTAGATCTTCCTACTAAAAGATGCGTTTGCGATTTCCTCTGCTGGAAAACTTCGACCTGATCGGAACCCATTAGTTGCGTGCTTGCAATGGCTACAACTGTGCTATCGTTTTATTTGATAAATCATATCATTGTTTGGTTAAATAGTTTATGACCATTTAATTTATTTCATCATTCTTGTCGTCGTCTTTTACTTTGTTGGATTATGTTTTATATTTGAAATAAGCCTTTGATTTTGTTGTGTTGCTGAGGGTTTTTATTGTTGTTAGTTTGGTGCAATTGTTGTATGAAATGCTTTGATATAATTTCATGTAATATATGTAATGATTTTGAATAATTGATGTTCCAATTTTAATTATTGATTATTCAGTGTAAATGTATGTGTAATATCTGATAGATATTATAGTTATAATATTTGTCGTAAATTAGGATAATATTTGTGTATATTTTGTATCCTTATCGTACTAGGATTACGAGTCTTGTAAAACTCTATATATATTGATCAATGGTACACACTCCAATTTGAGGAGTTTTCCCAAAATCTAACATGGTATCACAAGTTAGGTTTTCGATCTAGCTTCCGCAAAATTATTATTTTTTAAATTATTTCTACCGGGTATCTCCTTGTTCACGAGCCACTGCCACTTTCTTCCACCGTAATTGCAGCTTTCCTATCCTTGTTTATGACCAATTGTTTCCCAAACATATTGCAATATTGCTTTTACGTCAAATTGCACACTTGTTTTTCATCAATTTATACCGCATAACCAATGACGAAGAATGATGATCAAGCTCCTCCTCCACCAACCAATGAATATCACCCGGCCTTATCGATGAACAATATCAAGAATGATATACCATTGATTCTTGATCGGGAGAAGGTACAATACTCTAATTGGGTCGAGCTTTATGAGATACATTGTCATGCTTACAATGTACTTGACCACATTGAACTCAAAACCCCTCGACCCACAGACATCTCCGATGCGTTATGGGACCGTCTTGACTCGATTGTGAAGAAGTAAATATATGGCACCATCTCAACTGACCTCCTTGAAACAGTCCTTTATCGGGGTGCTACGGCTCAGCAAACTTGGGACAGAATTAAAGCGAATTTTCAAGATAACAAACATACACGAGCGGTGTATCTTGAAAATCAATTTAATAATTTACATCTCTCCAATTTTCCTGACATCAGTTGATATTTTCAACAATTGAAGAGTTTAAGGGACCAACTTGCCAACGTCGATCAGGAGATTTCAGAACAAAAACTAGTTTACGACTAGTTGCCGGCCTCGTAAAGACCGACTATGACACCGTGGCAGCCATGATCCAACAAACTGAACCTCTTCCAACCTTTGAAACGGCACGGTCTCGTCTTCTCCTTGAAGAATCACGCAAAGCCAATGACACCTCCACGCCTCCCTCCTCTTTTGTTGCCCAAACTGGAGACTCCACGGCACCTTCTGCCTCGCAACAACAACAAGGGAGTGGTCGTGGTGGTGGTCGAGGACGTGGCCGTGGTAGGGGAAGCTCAAGTACTGGGGGTAATTCGAACAACAATAACAATACACAGCAGCAACAACAATCAAGTGGTGCCCAATTCTTGGCTGCCCTTCAAGCTGTCCAACATCAACGAAATTGGCCTACTCCACCCTCCCACTATCCAACAGCAGGGCCCAGTTAACAAAATAGACAGCAGAACCATAATCATGGCTCACAAAATCAGCAGGCCTATAATGCGGGTTCGACATCACATGGCTCATCCATGTCCCCCACTGACCTTGCAAATGCTTTTGCAACTATGACTCTTTATCAACCAGATGATGGATGGTATATGGATTCTGGTGCAACATCACACATGACAAACAATTCTGGTAATCTCTTACCCCTATTTAATTTGAGCATTAATAATCATATTTTAGTAGGCAATGGTCACTGCATTCCAATAACAGGTTATGGTCACACCAAATTACCAAATAAACCTCTTGTCTTTCGTGATGTCTACCTTGCACCCCAAATCATTAAAAACCTTATTTTGGTTAAAAAATTTACCACCGATAATTCTGTTTCCATTGAATATGATCCATCTGGTTTTTCTGTGAAGGATCTTCAAACGAGGAGAATTATAACGAGATGTAATATTTCGAGAGTTTAATATCCAGTCACATCATCCGAGTCGCCCACAACTCTCACTGCTATCTCACCCACCACATGGCACAACCGTTTAGGCCATCTTGGAGCCTCTTCTTTAAGCTTTCTTAGGAGTAATATTACTATAGATTGTAATAAAGAGCGTAGCTCAAATTTTTGCAACTCTTGTCAAGTTAAAAAACACATTAGACTTCCCTTTTATGATTCAAATAATAACACTACTTGTGCTTTTGATATTATTCATGCCGATCTTTGGACCTCTCCTATTCGTAGCTCAACAGGTCACAAATATTATTTAGTTCTCCTTGACGACTTTACTCATTATGTGTGGGCTATCCTTTTGTCTTGCAAATCTCAAGCCTTTCAAAAATTTCTCGATTTTCGAGCCTTTGTCAAAACCCAATTCGAACGACCAATAAAAGCTTTTCGAAGTAACCATGGTCGTGAGTTTGATAATGACCCTAACTAGAATGCGGCGATGCAAGATGAATATGATGCTCTTATTAAAACAGGGACTTGGGATTTGGTACCTAGGCCTACGGGGGTGAATATTGTTAATTGCATGTGGTTATTTAAACACAAATACAAGTCTAATGGTGACCTTGAAAGGCACAAAGCTCGTCTTGTATGTGATGGTAGGTCGCAAGAAGTTGGTGTGGATTGTGATGAGACTTTCAGTCTGGTAGTTAAATCGGCCACTATTCGTACTGTTCTCAGCTTAGCTATGGCTAAAAAGTGGTCGATCCATCAATTAGATGTCAAAAATGCCTTTTTACATGGTGATTTGCAGGAAACAGTTTATATGCATCAACCTTCGGGTTTTGTTGATCGGAGAGCACCCTCCTATGTATGTCAACTTCGTAAGGCTCTATATGGGTTGAAGCAAGCTCCTAGAGCTTGGTACCAGTGCTTTGTGAATTTTTTGGTCAAATTGGGTCTTGTCATTGCTAAAAGGGACAACTCTCTTTTTACATTCCGACAGGGAGATGATATGGCATATTTTCTTATTTATGTTGATGATATTATATTAGCTACCTCTTCTGACAGGTTGCGTGAGGGGATCATATCTCAATTGCAAACTGAGTTCCCTATGACTGATTTGGGTCATTTGAGCTACTTTCTAGGGATTGTGGTGACCCGTAATCCCTCTTATTTGCTACTTTCACAGGAAAAGTATGCACGGGAGATTTTAGAGCGTGCAGGTAAGGGCTCTTGTAGACCTGCAACTACTCCAGTTGACACTAAGTCCAAACTTAGTGCAGATGCAGGACCACCTTTTTGGGATCCTACTTTGTATCGCGGTTTAGCAAGTGTTTTTCAGTATCTCACTTTCACCAGGCCAGATATTGCCTATGCGGTACAACAAGTGTGTCTTTTTATGCATGATCCCCGGGAATCTCATTATGATTCATTGAAACACATTCTACGTTATGTTCAGGGTACCATTGATCATGGCTTACATTTATATCCGTCTGCTTCTCATTGTTTGATTACTTACACTGACGCTGACTGGGGAGGCTGTCCCGATACCCGTCGTTCCACATCGGGTTATTGCTGCTTTCTTGGGGACAACCTCGTTTCTTAGTCATCTAAGCGTCAACATATTTTATCTAAATTGAGTGCAGAAACAGAATATCGAGGCGTCGCAAATATTGTCTCTGAGGCATGTTGGCTTCGTAATTTTTTACTTGAGTTACATTGTTCTCTTCAACAAGCTACTATTGTTTATTGTAATGTCAGTGCTACCTACGTACCTTTTTGGCAACCTAGTACAACACCAACGCACCAAGCATATGGAGATGGATATTCATTTTGTTCGAGAAAAGGTTGCTTTGGGACAAGTTTGGGCTCTACATGATCCTTCTAGATATCAGTTTGCGGACATTTTCACAAAAGACCTACCACGAGACTTATTTTTGGATTTTAGATCCAGTCTTAGCGTACGACCTCCTCCCGCTATAACTGCGGGGGTGTGATAGATATTATAGTTATGATAATATTTATCGCAGATTAGGATAATATTTGTATATATTTTGTATCCTTATCGTACTAGGATTACGAGTCTTGTAAAACTCTATATATATTGATCAATGGTACACACTCCAATTTGAGGAGTTTTCCCGAAATCTAACAATATCAACGAGCCTTCATAATGAGATAATATTGGAATATCGTATAATAAATTTTTGGGAATTATCTTATGGAATATTTGTTAGGAGATATTATCTTGTATTTTAGTTAATTTCTAACTTCCTAGAATATTGTTAATTCTAGGGTTAGGAGGTTTTTGCAAGTTAATGAGAAAGTTAAGACGTGATATTAGAATTCTTCATGGTACCAAGAGCAGGTTAAATTTTTTTCTTCAAAATAAACAACCATGGCCGACGGTGAAACACCATCTCTGTCCCTTTCCCCTAAAATTATGGATAATGCAAAAATTCCCGAAAATCATCTATATTGTCAGTTTGATGATACTTGTTGGATTATAGATATCGGAGCTACTCATCATGTTACTAGTAATAATCTTGGTATTATTTGATACCCACAACATTGAATGTCCGGTTGGGTTACGAGCGAATGGCACGCAAGAGTGTGCTCGCTACTTTGGAAGGATCGGTTCGTTTGTCAAATAAAATCACCATCAATGGTGTTCTTTTTGTGCCATATTTAATTTACAATTTAATTTTCGTTTCACAACTTAGTGATCAGCTAAAAGTTGTTGTTCAATTTAACTCATATATGTGTGTCATACAAGACCAAATGAAGGAATTGATTGGAACGGGGCTTCGACGAGACGGACTTTATTACTTTAGCAAACCGGATGTGGTGCAATATGTGTCTGTGATCAAAGCAACATCAGATTTGGAGCTATGACATAGAAGAATGGGTCATCCTTCGGAAAGAGTGGTAAAATTACTTCCTCATATTCGCAATAATAAAGGTAGCCTAGCTAAGGGATGTGAGGTGTGTTTTCGTGCTCAACACCCTAGAGGCAAGTTTCCTTTGAATGAGAATAAATCCTCTAGAATATTTGAGAAAATTCGTTGTGATTTGTGGGGTCCGTATAGAGATGTTTTGTCATATGGAGCTCGTTATTTTTTAACTATTGTTGATGACTTTTTCCGGGCTGTTTGGATTTATTTGTTGATTGATAAGACTGAAGTATTTCAGATATTATGGACTTTGTTGCTATTGTTGATAGGCAATTTAATCAAACAATTAAAATTGTTCAAAGTGATCGTGGAACCGAATTTAATTGTTTGAATGATTATTTTGTTGCAATTGGAATTATTTTTCAAACCTCGTGTGTGGGAACTCCTCAACAAAATGGGAGAGTAGAGAAAAAACACAAACATATTCTTAATGTTGGGAGAGCCTTGAGATTTTAAGTCAAATTGCCTATTTATTTTTGGGGTGAATGTGTTTTAGCTGCAGCTCACTTGATTAATCGAACCTCAACTCCACTCCTACAAAATAAAACTCCATTCGAAATTCTTTTCAATAAATCTCCTTCATTTGATGCTATTCGTACTTTTGGTTGCTTATATTTTGCTCATAATCAAAATACTAAAGGAGATAAGTTTTCTAGCAAGAGTCGTGAATATGTTTTCTTGGGGTATCCATTTAGAAAAAAGGGATGGAGGTTATATGATCTTGACACAAAGGAATTTTTTGTCTCTCGTGATGTTAAATTTGTTAGAAAGTTAAGCTGTGATTATTAGAATTCTTCACTTCATCATGATGAAGTAGCCGTGATTATTAAGCTTAGGGAAATTCTCAACGGCGACCCCCAACTTTTGCTATGCACCAACGGTAACCTCCCTTTTTTTCAATTATACAAAATGACCTTAATTAAATTTTTCATCTCACTCATAACCTTATTTCATTAAATATATTAACTATAGTTAGATTTATATTTAAAAAAAAAAAAAAAAAAACTAAAAAAATTAACCCAACCACCAAAAACAGCCACCCCCACCTGAACAGCCACCCCCAACTTTATTTTTTTTCCCTTTCTTCTTCTTCTTCTTCCCTTTCCCCCTCCATAACTTCAGGCCACCACCTCCCCGGCCTCCTGCCCTACTTGCCTTTCCGCCCTCTCTCCTCCCCTCCTCGCCCTGCTTCCTTTTCTAACATTGCCCTGATAGGCTTATCGCGTACCTAACAAAAATAACCTAACTATTCCTTCTAACTGTGTAGTAGGGCAAGTAAGGATCGAATCCCAAGAGACTATGGTTCATTCAATTAATCAGACTCAATTAATCACTAAGCACGTCACCAATCAATAATGGATGATAATAATCAACTAATATATTAAATAACACAATTAACTAGAGGAAATATTAATCAATAAACTAAAGCATCCAAGATCAAGCATCACCACGATTATGATTGATAAACTAATAAATCTACCCCCAATATATAAATCAATTGACAAGAAGAAAAGCAATCCCTAATAATAATACCAAAGGTCTCTTCCGAGTTATCAATGGCTTCCCAAATTAACTATCAAGCCTACTTCCGTGGAATCAAGCGAATAAGGGACATTAAACACCATGCCTAGATTCCTAATTATTCAATCATCTACTTCCGTGATGATCTTCAAACCCTTAATTGAAATAACCTAATCCCGTTAATACCCAACTTCCGTTGCAATAAGAACAAAGGGATGATAACAATACTAATTATCCCTAATCTAGTATTGGCATAAACACAATCAATTAAGCATGTCAATTGGGATTATTATTGGGGAATTTAAAGATCTACTTTATACATCAATCATAATCGGGCTTAGCAAGATCCCGGATTAAGGAAACTACTCACAAATCATAATTAAATCAAAAACAAGATCTAATAGAGAACACATAATTAAAGAACTATAAAATAAATAAAAGAGATGGAAAGTAAGAAATACCAAATACTTCAATTGATGATCTTGAATTCTTGAAGAACAATTAATAAAACTAGGATTAAAGATTGAAATTGCTTAAGAAAATAAAACTAGGGTTCTTGAGAGTTTTCTAGGGCTTAAGGAGAAAACTAATGAAAAACTTACTGTCTAAAAGTTAATTACAAAAGGGTATTTATACCCCCAAAAGATAATATTTCGGAAAAATAAGAAAATACGCGTTCTTGAGCTTTGCCCGGTCTGACCGGGCGGACCTCGCCCGATCGGGCGGAGGAAGGCTGCGTAAAATACGACAGTTTTCCTTCTTTGCCCGGTCTGACCGGGCGAACCTCGCCCGGTCGGGCGCGCGTAACACGTTTCCAAAATTGCATCTCATAACTTGATTTCTTCATCGCCCGGTCTGACCGGGCGAAGCCTGCCCGATCGGGCGCGCGTTGCACCGTTCAGAATTGGGCTTCTTCCTGTGAACTCCTCATTGCCCGGTCTGCCCGGGCAAGCCATGCCCGGTCGGGCATTCCACATAAATTGCAGTTCTTGGCTATCAACTCTTCCGAATCTACTAAAAACACGTCCAATTGCCTAGAAACGCTTCATATTCCTGAAAAGCTTACTAAAACAATCGAATACACTAAAGAAGAGATTGTTAGCAAGAAATAGCTCCGTAGAGCTCAAAACCATGTAAAATCATGCAATCAAACCGGGGAAAACCATTGTATAAAACACGTATATCAAATTCCCCCAAGCTAAACCTTTGCTTGTCCCTAAGCAAAGCAATGAATAAATAAATCAATACTTCACCCCAAAAGTAACTCAAATCAATAAATACGATTAAAGGTAAACTCGACAGTTATGCATCAAAGTCAACCAATCAAATCCATCTAACTACTCATCCTGTCTGACAATGGTCAAATAGAGCAAACCACAAGAGCATATAGAATTCAAGACTAGTGTTCACACACTCAACTCTCATTTATGTGGCGAGTAAAAGATATACTCGGTCGCTCTCCATCCAACTCCTTTAAATGTGAACAATGCCCTCCCAAGCTCACGCACTCGTGTGTTTTAAGAAAACAAGCACTCAACCTAGCAGTCGACTCGAAATATATCAAATCATTCTTTGCATTGGAAAACAACTAATTTCACATTCACACAACTCTATGCACAAAGGTCAGAAGGTCTTCAAAGCTTGTAATGTAAGGCTAGGGTAAAAGGTGGGAAATATTTGGGAAAATGTAAGAGTAAAGCTATGCTTAAGGGAGCCAAAATCCTAATAAATAAAACCAAGGTCAAAATGAATTAATGACCAAATCATCTCCAACACAACTCAACTCTACCAAAAATTCACCAAACATCCAATTATATTAAAAATTTCCAACACTTAAAATTTCACTCATATATACAAAATATAAAATTATAGAACTTGAGTGAACAAACAAACTTTGAACTCTCCTTTTTTTTCTTGAGCAGCCTTCAATTAGAACACTTGAACATTGAAACAATTTTTTCTTTTGCTCTTTCTTTTCCCTTTTTTTTTTCATCTCACATTGGAATTTTTTTTTCTTTGCGCAATAAATTTTCAATTTTTTTCAATCCACAACAATAAGAACAAATAAAAACTTCTCAAATCCACCCAAAATTGTGCAGATTACATGCACACTACAACTCCCTCACCTCAC